GAAGACCCTTAATCATGTACTTGACAGTTCTTGAGAATAGCATGGGTTGCATTCTCGGTCAGCACGACGAGACTGGCAGAAAGGGGCATGCCATTTATTACTTGAGTAAAAAGTTCACAGATTGTGAGTCTCGTTACTCAATGCTGGAAAAAACGTGTTGCGCACTCGCGTGGGCTGCCAAACGTTTACGACAGTGTATGCTCAATCATACAACCATGCTAATTTCGAAGATAGATCCGATCAAGTACGTCTTCGAGAAGCAAGCGCTTTTAGGCGGGATTGCCAGATGGCAAATGATGTTGATGGAGTATGACATTCAGTATGTTTCCCATAAGGCCATCAAGGGAAGTGTATTGTCTAAGTACCTTGCCGAACAGCCTATCGAAGATTACCAGCCAATGAAATTTGAATTCCCTGATGAGGATATCATATTTCTCAAGGTGAAAGATTGTGATAAACCATTGCCCGACGAGGGGCCAGATAGGAAGTCCTAATGGAAATTGATATTTGACGGGGCGGTTAATTCGTACGGAAGTGGTATTGGGGCAATCATTACGACTCCTCAAGGATCCCACATCCCGTTCACTGCCAGATTGACTTTTCCAGTCACCAATGATGAAGCAGAATACGAGGCATGCATCATGGGTTTGGAAGAAGCTATTGATTTGAGAATCAAAAACTTGGATGTATACGGTGACTCGACACTTGTTGCTAACCAAATTAAAGGGGAGCGGGAGACTCGTCAGTCGAATTTGGTTCCTTACATGAATTATGCCAGAAGGATACTTCCGTTCTTTGATCGAGTGGAACTCCATCATGTGCCCAGAGCTGAAAATCAGATGGCTGATGCCTTAGCCACGTTGGCTTCGATGTATAAAGTCAATTTTTGGAATGAAGCTCCAAGAATTGTCATTTCTCGTCTTAATAGACCTGCATTCGTTTTTGCAATCGAGGAAGCCTCCGATGGCAAGCCCTGGTTCCACGATATCCAGACTTTCCTTATGACTAAGGAGTATCCTGCGGGAGCGTCAACCCAGGATAAGAAGACTCTGAGGAGGCTGTATGGAAATTTCTATCTCAATCCTGATGGAGTTCTGTACAAGAGAAATCAGATCTCGTGCTACTCAAATGTGTAGATGAGAAAGAAGCTAGTCTGCTTATGGAGGAAGTCCATGAAGGCACATTTGGTACGCACGCCGGAGGACATGCTATGACGAGAAAAATCCTACGAGCAGGATATTACTGGCTGACGATGGAGTCGGATTGTTTCAAATTCGCGAAAAGATGTCATAAATGCCAGATTTATGCTGATAAAATTCATATGCCGCCGTGCGCGTTGAATGTCATGTCATCCCCGTGGCCGTTCTCCATGTGGGGCATTGATATGATAGGCAAGATCGAGCCCACTGCGTCTAACGGTCACCGCTTCATTTTGGTAGCCATCGACTACTTCGCCAAGTGGGTGGAGGCAGCCTCGTATGCTAACGTGACCAAGCAGG